TAAAGCCTAGCCGAGGCGACCTACGGCATCAATTTTTCAAGGTTGCCGAGACGAGAAATTTTCTCCGTCTTGGGTCGCTTCTCTTCCTCCCTCCGATGAAAGCGGATACATAATCTCGTGGATATATACTGGATATATACTGGGTGTATTGAAAGTTGCTACATTCTTTATATTTTTATGTTTTAATGTAGGAATATTTAATGTACGTACCATATATTATCTTTTGTTGCGAGAGACTTCCTTATATTCTTCTTTTAAAGTTTCATCATGACAGCGACTGGGCGGTATCTTTCTGTCAGTATTTTTTAATATAAATCAACGACGGGCTCCTCTCTCTTTTGTATGTATAATTTGATTTTCTATCTGGGACAGTATTTTGACGAAATAAAAAAGGGGAGTGCTGACATTAATTTGCATGTCATGAATTGTTATAATTTCAAGATTTATTATAAAGGGAGAAATTTTCTGAATCATCCTCACACACTTTGAATCATGTAGAAATTACTAAATATGTTTCTGAAATATGTCATTTTGAAATATCATGTTTTTTGTCTTATTTTCATCTAAAAATTCGTCACCTCGCGAATTTTCGTTATTTTCTGCTGAAAAGAAGATCACCCGTAGTCCTTCCCTCTTTATTCGCAAAATGAGATTTCATGAATTTAAATATCTAATCCTCTACATCCTTTTAATTCGACACTTGTATTTTTTTCTTTTAGATAAAAAAATTTCTAATTTATATATAATTTAAGATAAAAAATTTTTAATTTATATTAAATTTTTAAAATTTGCTTACCTTCGTATACATGTAATTAAAGAAATAAATTAATTTATCCTAATCTAATTGTTGGTCATCTATATTTTCAATCTTTATAATCACAGTAATATCCATAAATTAATTTGTTTTATCATTTATATCTTGGAAGCTTATACATACATGTATACGATAATTTTTAAAGTCATTATTCTCATTATATGAATCTAGATATTCGTACACAATTATACAACATTAATATGTACACTTATATATACATACATACATATATGTAAGTGATCAAAGCAAGCGAACAACACACGAGATGAAAAGAGAGGAAGGGAGAGACAGAATGAGTTCAGAAGCGCGCTCATTTCTCGCTCTTTTTTTTCTAGTATATACGTAACGTATCCGTAAAATTGATAAAGTTTCGCGAGAACTTTTATAATACCCGGTAGAAGAATGTTCAAGTATATACGAGCTGGCAATTTATGTTACTCGAGAACACGACGCGCTGCATCCCGAAGTCGGCCGGGATGGGCGGGGATCGGGACCGTCCTGAGAGAGCTAACGTGTACCTATATATATATATCCACGCAAGGGCTGCTTATCACGCTTCTGCGTGAAGGGTATAACTGTCGTTAAAATCGCCCGGCGATCTACATTACAAAAGATTCGCCGGCGTCTCGCAGTTCGGCGCAGCGGCAGCGCTTCGGCCTCGTCGAGGCTTCCCTTCGTCGTTTCCTTCCTTCCTTCCTGGCCCTTGCCTCGCCCAACTTTGCAATTGTAATCAACGATAACGATTCCGGCACCTCGTTTTACTATTCGCGCGGAATAACTCTCTCGAAATGCAAAACGCTCTCTGTTCCAAGGTGGTATTTAAAGGACGATCGCGTCTCGTGTGAACCCGTCCTTTTTTGCCCCTTTTATTTCCCGTACAAGGGTAGTTTGGGGGACGTTTCGACGTGTTCGGGAGATCTCGATTGCTCCATAGTTTAGTGACATTGTAAAAGTTGAGGGATTTAAAAAAAGCTTATTAATCATACATTGTGGAAATTTAATTTGCGCGCACTTCGACGATATATAAATAAATTTGCTGCGTTGCTGTGAAAAATGTAAAAAAAGGTGATCCTTTTTTTTTTGTACAAAAATTGTGATAATTTTCACATATAAATAAACTGGATTTTATATGCAAGAATTTTATACAGTCAGCTTTATTTCATATGAGATATTTCATTTCAATAATATAGTTATTTTATTTCATATTTCAAAAGTTACATATTTAAATATTTAAAAAAATATATTACTTTAGCATTACGCAAAATGTTTGAATTTTTTTTATAAACATCAAAATCTCTTTTAATAACATTTTTTTTATTCTTTAAATAATTTATATATGTATGATTTGCTCTTCTGACATGGGTTATTTTTATACATAAAAAATAGAGATTAGATTCTTTTTCAATTTTTTTACATATATGTATATACATATGAAATCAAACAGATAATAGCCAGAATTATATTATTTTTATGTTAGTGTGTTGAGATGCTTTTAAATTTTCCCTTTTTTTTTTATAGTACATTCGCAAAAACTTGTAATAATCAATTAAAGTGCAGTTCCATCTTTTGATATTCTATAAAATACAATACATATTACAGCTTTCATGTTCTGCAAGAATACAATATACGATATAATACAATATATCAACTACTATAGTAAATTAATACGTATCATTGAGATAAAGATTTAAATTCGCTTTATATAAAGAGCGACGCGGGGGGAGGGGGGAGAGGGCGATTGCATAATCAAAGTGCGACGAGACGTCGTGGTTCTCGATAGACACGACTCGACAACAATGCGATATACGATGCGCCCCTATCAACTTTGTCGAGTCGGAAATATTGCGTCGCAACTAAGCGTCAAAGTTCGGAAGCGGAATACGACAGGTTACATTAAAGCGTTACCGCTAATACGGAGGTAAGTTTCAGAGCGTTTGATGGCAGAGGTAGACATGTAAATGCGTTACTACATATGTACAAACGCTCCGAGACAAATGCCGAAACGCGACGACGATATTGTTTTACAAAAGCGATGCGCCACTTGCCGCATCTTCCATCGTTACGATGAATTCGCCAATCCGTCACCGTCTCGTTCGACAACGTTTTCCTCTCGCCAGCTACTTTCGCGAAGAATACGTCCTCCCTAACTCGTCTACGTCGACGATATTTGGCCCGTTCGACCGAATTCCGAAACTTCCGGTCGACGTCCTTTTTCCCTCCCCGCGGAAACTAAACGACTGCCAACACCGACGTAGCGATAAGTCTCCGCGAAAACGTCGACGGTTTGACGCGAAGTGCCGTCCACGGCGTCGCCGAGGAAGTGTACGGAGATCGATGGTCAAAGTCACTCTTCGAGATGGATTCTCGCGTTATCGCGACGCGAAACTGACTCGCAATGATCGACACTTCTATCTCGAGAAAGAGAGAGAGAGAGAGAGACAGATGCGCTTTTTGAGATTAGGCTGAGCGAGAGAGAGTCTAATTTATCATCGCGGAAGGATGGGACTAATTGCGAGAAGGGTGGATTGTGCAGCGAGCAGCGTCATAAATCTCGCGCTTGCTTGTCATTACTGGTGATTATATGGACCATTATTATAAAAGGGCGAGGAGCGTGAGATTTGTGACATGTGTGCGCGTGTATCGACCTCTTCTCCTTCCGAACGATGTCATAATTATTACAAGGACTAATTTGGAGACGGATGCGTCGCAGGGGGAGCGAATGTATCGCGACTCCACTTGACACGCACATATCAGTCTGGGATGACAATCCGTTTCCCCCCCCAAAGGAAATGTCCTAGTCAGCGCGTAGAATGTTATTCCGGGGGGAGATCGGCGGGAGTCCTTTCTAAGACGTGTCATATCGATTCGTCGCCAAGAACGTCGTTGTGCTTGTGACAGTTCGAGAGTGAGGGACCCGCGTCTGATTTTCTGCGGGGGAGGCAGAAGAGGTGGTGGAGGGGGAGGAGGGAGGAAGGCGCCGACTGCCGGAATCTCTTTCCGGTGTCCGTTCCACTTCGATTGTCGAAGACGCCTGCTTCGATTTGCGATCCCGTCTTTCTCGAGGACTCTTATGTGGGCCTCCCCACGGGGGGGGGGGGGGAGGAAGGTACCCGCATCCCTCGACGCGCGATAATTCAGCCGCAAAGTTTCCGCGGTTCGGGGGGGGGGGGTTGGAGGGAGGACGGAGGGATGGATACGTCGCCCGCTCGTAAAAATTAAGCTCAAACTTGCCCGTTAACATTCATAATACCGCGAAGCCGCTGAGACCGGCGACTTTGCCGGAAACTTCGCCGCCCCCGTATCTCTTTCCGCCGTTGCGAAATAGGTCGGATCCATTTTGCCGCGTTTCAATTACGCGATAGCGCGCGAACTTTCGACCGATGGTCGGGCAGAGAGCCCGGGTGGGAGGGCGATAAAATATCCCGGCATAATCGAGCGATATTCATCCCTTAACTGATGGTACGGCCAAGTTGTTCCTCCCTTTCCCTCTTCTCTTCCTCCACTCCGCTTCTTCGTCTGATATCTGAGACAGATTGTCCGCGTGGCTGGCGTTTCTCCGCAAAACTTTCGCTCGCGCGGATGCGATGCACCCCCTCGACTTTTCGCGTTACGGGATCCAAGACGAATACACTTCGCGATCCATTTGTTCCGCTACCGGTGGCTGTTCCCGTCCTCGTGCGCTACAATCCGCTCTCACCTGCCGCGGTGATAAACGGCGGAGCGTGGAGAGACGCATTGCTATCGCGATAGAATGCTCGGCGGAAATTGAAATTTTGACGGGACACGGTTGCCCGTAGGAGAGAAAGCCCGGGATTCTACTCCCCCTCGCGCCCCCGCGCGAATATATAAGATCGTACGTCACGGTCTCGATTCTCACACGCCGCGAACACGTTCCACGTCGATAAGTTATTCTCAATGATGCTCGTCGTCCATCCCGTAGACCGGAACGTTCTTGATCGATTTTCACGGTAGGACAATACGACGTATAAATCTAAATTCTGAGGGGGTGCGCTCTCGCGTACTCTCGGAGAATTCCGTGTGCCTCGGAGGATTCGATTTGAATTTTACAGCACGGAAACACACAAGAGCGTCTTCTCTGTATTTTATCCTCTCGTATATACGTCTATATCCTCGTATATCACGAATGCGCTTATTATTAAAGACGGTATACGTGTCGTGCACTTACTTTCCATGAAGGAGTACGTCGCTTTAAAGCCTCTCGAATGGCGGGACGACGTTAACCCCTGAAACTCCAACGAGAGTCGCGGGCCGTTGCTCATGATAGGCCGCGGCGATGTCTCTCCGCAAAACGAGTCTATCTTTTCCTTCTTCCCGTCTATGTGCACGAATGCCACTAGTGAGTCAGCTCCCTCGCAGCTGTAAAATAGAGGAGAAGAGAGATATATTAAGAAAATTATATTTGATTTATATTTGAATTAATTATTATACGTAGAAAGTATAGATTATTATTTTTACATTTCGTGTATTATATTTCGTCCGTACATAATGGAAATTGATTATTTAATTCATTTCAAACGCGTACCTCATATTTGCGGATGTGAGCAACAACCAAAATTTGATACCTCCAAGCGTGATAATTATTGCGGAAAACCAACAATTTCCATGTATAATTTCGATAATTGCAGATAAAATATCTCTCGTTTCTCTCGCGCAATCATTTTATAATGTAATATTATGAAATGGTATGGAAGAATGAAGAAGACAACGTGCACATGCATGTGTACATCGAAATTTTATTGAAAAGATATATTATCCACGTATAATGTACGCAGCTTTTCACAATTATTGCACGCTTTGTCGAAATGACAATTTTAGTTGCGGTTTTATTCGGTATTTATTATTTAGGAGAATCGTCGCAAGGACATCAATCGACCCGCTCCGGTTGTATCAAGGAGAACCTCGTCTCTCTCGAATGCGAGAGCCCTGTCACGCGTTAGAAAACGCATACTCTCGATAGGAAAAACTTTTCATTTCCTCGACAAAAGACGCTCCTCCTCCATCCCCGGGGGGACCTGTATTTCCATTCGCTTCTGATTTCACGTCCTGTTAGAACACAAGGAACAGGAATCAAGATGTATTTGTCCCGGAACGCCGCCGGGACACGTTGTGTACGGCAACACGTTGTTGCGCAACGCGTTGTCCAATTTTATATTCCGGCGTTTACGACGCCGCCGGCGAACTTTGAACGATAACTCGACACCGAGTTGACACTGTCGCGTAGTCTGGACTCTTCTTCACTTCGGGAACTCTCGTGACATTCTCATCATTGTCGCGAAATTATCCCTTGCAATCTCCGGTTAGTACAATAACAGTTAACTGCAATTAGCTTATTGAAATTTAATACTGGATTTTATGTATTTAATGTGATATAATTCTGTCATTTATATATAGTAATTATAGATTCGTTACAATATGCAATGCGATAAAATAAGAAAAATGGTATCAGTTCTTAAATTGCATTATCGTATCTGTAAATTCAACTATTATATTTAAATTTCATCTTAATTAGAATTTAAAATGCAATCCTATGGTGCTTTGTTAATTTCGAATAATTTGCCAAACGTATCATATATACTTAAATTTAAAAATATCAAATTTTAAAATTCTTTTTCCACGTTTCTGTAAAAGTAACAAATAAAAAATTAATTTATCGGTTAATTCATATCCGTATATTTAGAGAATTAAATATAATTTATAATTTTTTAATACTTAGAAATTAATAAAAATCTGAAAATCAAAAAATTGAGAAAGTGGAAAAAATATTCATCTTTATATATTTGTTATCTTGAATGGTACTTTTTTAAACAGGGTGTCAAGATAATCTTATTTAAAGAAAAAAAAAAACGGACCATTATTTAAAGAAAAAAAAAACGGAAAATGCGGACCAATAATTTAAATGCCTGAATCGATTATGAATGTGGAATCTACGCGTTGCATTTATCGGTAAACATGTCGCAAAGTGCCTTGCCGAAAGGTTTTGAAAAGTAGCGAATATCGCGTTCGTGGAACCGTTATGCAAATATACGTGTAACTAGTGCTCCTACTTTTTCTGAAAATATGCATGTGTCGCATATAATTTTAACTTTATTTCGAAATATAATATTAAATATGCAAATGGTCTTAAATTTTGAATCATTGAAATAGCCGCTACTGTTGCTCGCCTCAAATTGAATTTAATGCGACTGAAAAATCTGACTAGCTAAAATAATACGATGCAATGTTACAAAGTATATACGTACAATGCACAGAAAATGCGTTTTTAAACATTAGAGAGAACTTAAAAAAAAAGGTATATACTCTACATGGTTTAAATCGAGCGTATACTTGCAGAACCATTTTACGTATTGTGTTAAACGCGAAAAAGAAGCAGACGTGTTTATCTTTTCCTTTTTACGACAAAATATTACGGCATAAGCTTGAAAGGAGCATAATCACGTATAAAATTCATTCTCGTATAAAAATAAAGCCTCATTTTCTATGCATTTAGCAGCGTTTGAACATCCCTATTACATCCCCCTTCTCTTTTAGCTTAACGTTCCGTGGTGATTTATCATATTATAATTACAAGTAATTGTGTCTCGCGGGCACGATTCACAATGGATGGTTCTTAATCGGCCAATTTGCGATTACGCAAGACGCTTGCGTTCGAGTCAGCGGGACATGCGATAAAGAATATTATTCGGCTGCGCGCTAGGCTTAGATGCATACATATGAGTATGCGAACATCATTGCGGCAACGATTTCGTGCATGAGCAAATTTATGCGACTGCATGAATGCGCGCGGCCGCTCGGAGGAAAATTTCGGACCAATCCACTCGGATGATTGGAAGGAAACTGGGCAGAGGAAAATCAGATGTCGACGCAGAGCTCTCCAACATACTATTCACGGGAAACCCCTCTAGCATTTGAATGCGCTCGATGGCTTCCCTGCGTGCATTTACGAACAGATATATTATGAAGCATCTGCCTATTATGAGTAGACGTGAGAGACGAGATATGGATGCTTATGTTATGTAGTAGGATGTATTTTGCTCTTGAGATAAAGGCTGCAGTTGTGGAGTAGTTTGTCGCAATTCTCGTCTTAGTTTCAATCCTAGATGAATACATAACTAAACAATTCTTTACGCTTTTTATTTATTTCATTATCATCATTTTTTAATTGGTATTTTTTTTATTTTATTAGACATGTGTGTATGTTAAGAAAATCGTTTCATGCAGTTCCAAAAATGTTCAGGAATTATAAGTTATCAACTTTAAAAAGAGAAAAAAGTAACTTTAATATTTTCAAATGTACATATTTGCTCCCTTAATGAATGAATGTATTTTCAAAGAAATATAGATTATATGAAAAAGGAGTTATTAGGCAAAATTGGGCTACTTGAGTATTCGAGTATATTTACCCTTTTTTATGAAAAGCCATCAAAGGAATTCTTTCTTTGAATAGAATATATGTATATATTTTTTAGTGCATGAAATTGCGGTTTACATTCGAGCGAATATAGTGGCCATGGTCTTTCAATGCTAATCGAAGTCAGATAGAAAAAAAAAACAAATATATCTAGAAAAAATATGTACTCTAAAACATAAACTAATAAAATATTTTTTTTATCAATATTTTTGAATCTTTGTTTTTTTGACATAGTTTACGCACAGTAATTAACAATGCTCTTTTAAATACAATTTCTCACTATATAACAATGGGAAATTTATGCATGTATGTAATTAAATAATGTCATAATTAAATAATTTCCATTATTAAAGATGAAAGTAAAGAATTTTTCATTTGAAAAATTTTTTATCGTTTTATATAATATGTATAACGTAAAAAGCATAGAACAGCTCGATTATTATTCATACACATATTACACATATACATCGATCCGGAATTTATTCGCAATCGTAATTATTCATCTTAAAGAGATAGATGGGCTCTCGATTATCGCCGAATGCACGACAAACAATGGTGAAATGTGATTAGGTACCACTTAAACGTTAGTTTAACAAAGTGGTACGCCGGAACCCTAATTAAAGGTGTTCAAGATCAACCACCTGGAAAATGAATGAGAGGATAAGTGATCGCAGCCGATACAATTGTCGAGGAAACCATTGTATCACGAGATTCCCTGGTTTCTCTGGAATTTCTCATGCTGATCAGTCTTTTCGGCTAAAGCGTTAGTCCCTTTATTCAATTCCAATTCTACGTTCGAAACGTTCTTCGCTGCGAAATTAGTCAAGGTGATTTAATCAGATCAATTAATCAGATTTTTTAGGATTTAGGAGATTTTAGGAGATTCAACCTATTTTATGCAGATTGATAAATCTTAAATCTTCCATTATCGATGAAGCGATCTATAAATTTTAATGAATGGCTGTTGATCTGTAAGAAACGCGAGAGAGAGATGCGTCGACATGTCACAAATAAAATTTTCGAAGCGACGATTTTGTTAATCGCTAAATTGAGACTGGTTCTTCCGTACTTTCAGCATTCGATCGAATTATAAGATGAAGCACTATGCGACGAGGCGTCTCGTGAAATTTTAAGATCCACTTATCGTAATCTCCGACGCGGAACAATTCAAAGATAGAGGCAGATGATATCCGTTACGCGCGCAAATACATAATGTACCACGCCTTTTGTGTCGTAAGAATGGACTAAGGGTACTAGACACGATGATATGTATCGCGAGAGTGCATACCGTTACTAAACGCACCCACGTTGAATGCACTCTCGTAAAAACACACTCCTGTATATCTGTAAATCGTGACACACGACGGTACGAATCGATTCTCGCGACCCCGTGTCTTTCGCGAAGAACAGGCAGAAAATTTTTTTCGTCTATTCGGATCTTCTCAACGCGAATATAAATTTTTTCGCGCATTAATTTTTCGGCTACGTCGAAATTATCCGTATCTGGGAGAGCTCTTAAGAGGTTATGTCTAATCATAAAAGTAATAAAAAAAACGATTTTTATGTTTTTACATTTTCTTGAAGTATATCATATTGAAAATATTTCCTAAGTTTCAAATTAATCGAATGCAAATTGACGGAGTTAAGTTAAATAAAATTATATGAGCCTGGAATAGATGGTTCTATGTAAATTAAAAAATCTGCATTTTATTTAAAAGTAAACTTGACACAAATCTTAAATGCGTTCTTCTTGAAATCACTTTTGTAAAATCGGTGAGCAAGATATCGAAAACCGTTGCACCGATTTGCTTGAAATTTTACAGGCTTTTTCTACACATAAAAACCTAGCAGATGAACGAAGGATTTTGTTTTTTAATGAATACTTTTTTTTGTACTTAATAAAAAATGAGCAATTTTTAAATCGAAAAAGAATATCCTAGTGTCAATGACTGCCATTTTGTCCCAAAACAATTTTTTGATTAATCTTTCGTTCATATATTAGATAATTTCATACATTAACTACAGTTTATCGAATTTTTGATATCAGATGAATCAGCTTCGAATAGCACTGCTCACCGCGCAGCACTTTTTAAAAAACAATATCCGGGAGAATAGTTATAACTATTACATTTTTTGTTTTTAAAAAAATATAATACTATATATATTTTTTTATAATAACTTTTTTTAATAATAATTTTATTTTCAAAATATTATACTTTAATATAAAGAATATAATATTTTGAAAACAAAAATTTATTTGTAAAAAAGAATTATTATAGTTTAAAAAAAAAATTTCCAAACATCATACTTTTTTCGGTCTGCTAACTAATCCCCTTAATTGGAAAATGTAACAAACTTACTCATTCGGCGGATCGTTCGGCGAGTGAAAGAGATTCAGATCCTGGAATATCACCTGCACCCGTTCCTTTCCTCTTCCTTGGAAGTCGTATGTACAGTGAGTCCTGGGCGGATACGAGTTTGGGTATCCAGGAGACATGACTATGCCCGTTTTCGTCGAATCGCTGTTGTAAACCATGTCGCACAGCGACGCTGTAACAAAGGAAGACGCGCGGTGACTTAACGAGCGGCAACGGTCGACGAATAAAAGAACGAATGTAACGAAAGTAATTAATTGACGCGTCGGCGCGCCAAAGGGTGGGAGGGAGGGAAAGGGAGAAGGGGCCAATTAAATTACGCGACAGCTTTCTTTCGTCACAGGGCTTGTTCCTTTTCTCTTTTTTCCTCTCTTTTTTTTCTGCGTCGAAAGATACGTTGTGCGAGTTAAATTATGAATATTTCGCATTTTAATTACAAGTGCCTTGCGCATCGACGGTTCGCTATAATATGCAAACGAGCTCTGGCTGTTACGTGAAAATTGCGCAAAGGCTGCAAAAACACGATAATAATTATGCGGTACATACTTATTACAGTTGCATTCGCGGAAATGAAATATATCCTCTTTCTCTCAAATCAGAACGTATGAAAAATTTTTTGAATTTCGCTCTTAAGGCATGGAGGATACGATAATAAATACAAAGGGGACGAAATATTTCGTTCGTTAGAGATAGCGAATAAATTTCGGACGAATTTCATTTTTCTGTTATTACATGCGCCAAAATAAATTAAAAAATTGTAAGGAATAATATACTTATATATATATGTATATTATTATTCAGCTTTTTTGTCGCCCTTCTTTTCACAGCTCGTCGTCCTTATGAATCCACGTAGCTTTAAGATTAAACGAGTCTCGCGAAGAGCGCCCGAGGTACGAAATTATTTAATGTGATAAATATATCTTAACCCCGCGTATAGCGGTACAGCGATTGTGGCGCGTATTCGTTTCTCGAGTCTCTACGCTTTAATCTTCCCGACAGTTATTAATCTTTCCGTAATTTAACGCCAGAATCGCTGAGGTACGCTCCGTAAGATGAATCTTCCGAAGAAACGCCGTCATTAGGCAACCCTTGACGTTGTACGAATGTGCGTACTTGTATATCTCCTCGTGAATATATTTTCCGCGATTCCTATGAGAGCTCTCTTCTCTCTCTCTTTCCCTCTCTCTCTCTCTCTCTTCCTTTCTCTCTCTCTTTTCTAGTCAAGTAGTGTCTATCTCTACGTATAAAAAAAAAAAAAAAAAAGAGTATCAGTTTCGTGATACGATTGTAAAATTCATTGCCGCTCCTTTAAAAAAGAAGTTGAAATTATGCGTTTTGTAAATGAAATGAAAAATAATGTAACGGTGATAAATCCGTTTGTGAACACGATCGCGTCGTCACGCAGGTAATCGCGGTAATCAAAATTTATCTTCCTAAATACAAACCACCGTATCGAGAGTATATTAATTTATCATTGACTCGGTTTAGGTTTAGATTGATTGGTTGGCGGTAATTAATATTGGTATACGATATGTGTAATCGAGAGGGCCGAAAAGGGATGCAATAATGCATCGTTGAATATGAAGCTCTCCCTCTCTTTCTCTCTCTCTCTCTCTCTCCCCCCCGCCCCCCCCTCCCTCCTTCTCGCATAATTCATCGTTGCCTGCGCAACATGCGGTCCGAGATGTTGCACGTCCGCGGAACGCGAAGAAATTCGATAAAAGTGTCATTTGGTCGGAGTCATCGTTGCTGCAATCTCGCCGGTTTCAAAGCCACCGATGTTGACGCCGACGCGAGCCGCCGACAATGGCTTTTATCGAGTTTGGAAAAAGTAACGCAATATCTTGGCCTGCCAGCTACCTTAACGACTTTCACGTGCAACATGGACTCTCTTTCTTTCCCTCTCTCTCACATACATATACGGCACATTTATAGAAATATATATATATATATATATATATATATATATATATATATATATGTATATTATATACAGGATATTTCTTAATAAGTGCGAAAAATTTTAGGAGATGATTCTCTTTGTCGTAAATTAAGGGAGGTTTTTCATAATCATATATTCCTACATCCCTCTCTGTGGAGTTTCACTCCTTCAAAAATGAGGATAAAAATTAGGTTTTTTTTTCTCAAATTTGGAACAAGTTAAAGAAATGAAATTATACAACTAGTATTTTCGGATATTTTCTACTAGTAAAAAGGTTATTTATTAATATTTTGTTTTCAGTTTTCCTTCGTATTGTTATAAGGAGATGAAACTAGCAATCCCTATTTAATTTTTTATTAAAACTTTTTGATATTTATATGAAAAACCCTCCCTTAATTTTCGACAAAGAATCATCTGTAAGATTTTTCGTACTTATTAAGAAACACCCTGTATATATATATGCTGTTATTTTATATATTCTTATATTTTTGATTCCTCTCTGTGAACCAAGAAAAAAAATATTTGTATCAATTGCGGTGTGGCGTTTTTAATGGTTGCGCTCGAGAAGGTGAGGCAGTATTGATATGACGAGAAAATCTGGATGAACTGAAACTGGAAAGGCGCAAGGTATCAATGCATCGTCGTTGTCGTCGTCGTCGTCAGTCATGAATGTTGTATGAGTATTTGTATCAGAAGCGTACTTATCTCGAACTTTGCGTCGCTACGGAATATTGGAAATATCGTTCATACGTTGTGCTCAAGTTTGTCCCTTTTGATCCGTTCTCTCCCTCGTTTTCTCTCTTTCTTTCTCTCTCTCTCTCTCTCTCTTTCTATCCTCTTGGCATCGTTTTTAGCTCCATTTCCGCCCGAGACTACAGTATGCCTATAGTAATGTGCATGTGTGTTAAGGAAATACTCGTACGTATCGGCATGCATGTTTGAAGAGACACGAACATTTCCTCGAAAAATAGTCTATATCAAAAATTTAACGTGTTCTTATCCATTCTTATTCTTAAACGAGTGATATATTAGATGGAGAAATTGCGTCTGCATTAATTTCCTCTGTCGTGTTTCTTGGTCGTTCCGTCAATGCATAATTTTCACTCCAACGGCGTATTATTGGAAATGTCGGGACTGGAAATGCGCATTATGCTGTGCCATAATGGCCGTCCCTTTAAAGCTTTCTTATTGTGCATTGCGTTGCATCGTATATATATATATATACTCTCGCGGGGAAAACTTAGGAAAAATACGCGCGCCGCAAAAAAGAAAGCGGACATTATACGATTTTGCGGGCATGTAATGTCGTGAAAATAGCATACGACGGCTTTATATACGGCCGAGCTGCGTTGACCACGTGTTTAACGATATTCGATTAAAAATACATTACTCCCGTGAAAATTCAGCGTTACTTAACTCAACTATATGTAATTCGCAAGTGTCTTGATTAATTAATCCACAAAATTATTATTGACTCCAAGGATTCGGAAATTATGATTCATCCATCGCACTTTTTACTTAAACATTATTAGTATAACCATTGACTTTTGATTTTGAATATCGTTTATAAAGCGAGCCAAATAACATCGAAAGGGAGAAAAGAGAGAGAGAGGGAAGGGGAGAGGGAAAGAGACGGTGGCAGAAGCGGCAAACGCTTTTAATTTGCATTCATGAGTCGTTCCCTCAAATTCTTAGAGTCACCAAGTACGTCTTCCGTTTGGGAAACGAATTCACTTACGGCGATCAATTTCTGTAGTCGCGAGAATATTGTTCGCTGTCAGACGCGGCCCGTCCCGGCGAGATTGGCAATCGACAGTTTTTAGAATAGCGATCGTTGCTTATATGTATAAACCGCCATTTGTTATGCATGAGAAACGATATCGGGAAGAGAGAGGAAATGTTATCGTTCGCGTTTCCGTTCGTGCTCGAGTTTCGTATACGAGTTTCGTAACGCGGAGAGAACACGAGCACGGTTCGCAATCGCTTCGCGCGCTAATAATGCACGGAAACGTTAATGTCCGACCAGCTATTAACGCTCTAAATACGAGGCGGCGCAATTTCACGTTGTCGCTTTACAGTCGCGAAAAAAGAAGTTTCAGAACCGCCTTCCCCTACGGTGACGATTTCACCGGGTTGTTTTAGAAACTTCCGCCTCGCGTCGAGTAATTGTCCAACACACACGCACACACACGTATATACGTAATATGCGCGTTGCATGGCATTGTCGGAATAGTTTTAAGCTCGTTTCACTGGCGCTGCTACGAGAGATGTATCCGCAAACCGCCTGTGATATAGCCAGTGGTCACACGCGCGAAAAGCCTCCACGGCGATTCACCCTCCTCCCCTCCTCCGCGCGTCACCCTTTTATCGCGCCCCTCATCCTCTCCCCTGTTGCGTGACGTAACGTAAAACCTCCCGTCGTTGACAATCCCGCCGTCTTACCACAATCGCGGATTTCCTAATTAAACTGCACATTTACCCGGGAACAACCGAGTCAGCAGCCGCCACCGTCGGCCCCACAGCGGGTATTAATAATTTACGAACTTTGTTGAAATTAATTTGAACGCCATTTGCGAGCCGCGTCTTGGCGGTAAGTCCTGTCCCAACTCCGCAGATTTAAGCAACTCTCTCCCTGGCCCCTTCTCCCCCTCCCCGCCTCCCCCCTCGCCTCTCTATCCGTCTCTCACTCAGCAGAATCCCGCGGGGGAAACAGGGGACGGGATATATCCGGCGCGGGTTTCCGGTTCCGCTCCCAATGATGAACGTTCATATTTTCTTGCGCATTTTGGCATAACTGCACGGGATATATACCAACACATCCAATGCACGGCCAGCGGCAAAAAGTTCGCGTCGCCTCGGCCACGGAATTTAATTTCAGACTTTAAATCAGACTTTTCTTAGACACCCGTCCCCGATCATTTCGCAGACGATGATCGGCGCGATGAAAAATTACCCTTCGACCGATATTTACGCGCGTATCGATACTGGAGCTCTTAAATTATACGCGCGGACACATTATATACGAGAAATATAAAATTATCGGAAACCGAATCGCAGCAGAAAAATTGTGTTTTATTTTCCATTGCGGGAATTTGCGGAATTTTTTCCTTAAATTAAATAATCATTTCATTAATTTTTAGTGAAAACACACTTTGCTTTTCTGTTTTGTGTTTTATTAATTTTATGATGGATTTCAATGAAAAATCAGTCTTTTTAAAGCTCTCTTTATTTTT